AATCCCAAGTCATTACAATCAAGATCCCAAACACATGGAACTAGGGTTCTTCATACCCAAGTGAGAGAAAGTTCTACTCCATAGAGAGAGAGAGAGGGAAACAAATACAAAGCAGTCATACTCATAACAATGGGAAGAATCTGCTCTGGGATGATGATCTTCACTCCAAGAGTGATTTCCAAGCTTGATTGATGAAACCCAGCTCCAAAACCACTCTTAGGGGGTGTTCTTCGCACTTTCTCTCTCTAGGGCTCTGTTTTTTACTCCAAAAAGTCGATTCCCTCTCCTTTGGCTCGAAATTGGGTTAAAACCCAGAAATTCCCGACCACACGGCCAGGCCACACGGCCTTGTGACTTTCCCAACTGCCTGTGTGAGTGTGCAAAACGCCGCGTCTCACTTAAGTTGCTTCGGGTACCCTACACGGTCAAAACCCACGGCCGTGTGGATTTCCAGGCTGCCCGTGTGAGCTCCCTGGACTTTCCAAACGGCCACAAAGGGTCCCCTACACGGCTAGTGTGGCTTGCCCGTGCAAAATGGTGCCACACGGCCAAGTCACACGGCCGTGTGGAATTTTAGGCGTGCCCGTGTGGATTTCTCAGCTTCTCGCCAAACATCCAATCTTCGTCCAATCGACCCCAAACTCGTTCCCAAGCCTTCATTCACGTACTAGGACCTGAAATATCACAAACAAGAACAACCTAGCGTGAAATCGGCCTAAAACACAAGAGATGAGACTCGAACGGTACAGGAATGGTGGACAAAAAAATGTGCAAATATTGAGTCATCACATCTACACAAGGATCTCCATCCTATACGAACACTAGTTGATTATGGTAAAAGGGGTATAAATAATCTTGTAATGGCTTCTGCCAAAACACCAGTTCAGAATAAAATCCTAATGCTGGAAGGCATATTTCTCGTGTGGACTAGTCCTGATCTATCAAGGACACCACGTAAACATCGTCTCATTTATTTCCTTTTTTGGTTTGTTTAATTTCACATTGTAACATAGTACTTGTGAGTTCCAGAGAAATGTTCGTATAATTCATTATCTCACGCTAGATATCAAGAAGAATCACGAGTGTCGGCGAAAAGAAGGGTTTCAGAGATGTCCTGCCGCCAGCGTACAATCTTCATGAGTTCGATGGACCAGTTTAAATCCTCGTAGGTGACATTTTAAAATTTTACATGCATTTGAATTCTTGGATGCATATATATATATATATATATATATGGACGGTTCTATCGTACCTGGGATAAAATCAAGGGTACGACATACCCTGAGTAAAAAAATGCTATCTAGACTTCGAATTGACCGGAGTTTGGCATCTGATACTATTCCTGAACCTTTAAAGATTAAAATCTAGGTCCTAATTCTATAAATCTCACATACAAAGATAATTTTAATTAGAAACAAAAATCGACGGCTATGATTCGTCGAAATATATGCAACAAATTACATGCACAATCTTAGGTGTTAGATTCTATGATTTTGAAAACTAAGACCAAGGGTTCACTCATCAAGGGTTAGGGAATAGTATCATGCCCAAAAATCTAGTTAATTCGAGGTCTATATAGTGCTTTCTTACTCAGGGTATGTCGTACCCTAAATTTTACCAAAGGTACGATAGAAGTCACCATATATATATATATATATATATGGTAATGAATGGTATACTCTCGCAGTATCGCATACTTCAGGTGATCTAGCCATCAGATTTACTTCTATGAGAACCGACGAATCTCATGGGTCAATTATATATATATATGGTGCCTTCTACGGTACCCGGGTGAAATCCGAGGTACCACATACCTTGAGTATGAAAACACTATCTAGACCTCGAATTAGCAGAATTTTTGGGCATGATACTATACCCTAACCCTTAATGAGTGAACCCTAGGTCCTAATTTTCTAAATCATAAACTATAAACCCTAAGATGATGCATTGATTTTTTATCTATATTTGGACGAATCATAACCGTCGATTATTGTTTCTAATTAAATTGATCTTGGGGGTATAAGATTTAGAGAAATAAGACCTAGATTTTGATCTTTAAGGGTAAGAGTACAGTATCATGTACGAAACATCAGTCAATTCAAGTTCTGGATAGCATTTTCTTTCTCAAGGTATGCGGTACCCCGAATTTCACCCTGGGTACTATACCATGAGTAAAATCTAGGGTACGACATACCATGAGTAAAATCTAGGGTACGACATACCATGAGTAAAAAAATGCTATCTAGACCTCGAATTAACCGAATTTTTGGACATGATACTATACTCTAACCCTTGATGATTGAAACCTAGGTCTTAGATTTCTAAATCAAAGAGCCTAATCCCTAAGATTGTGCCTGTAATTTGTTGCATATATTTCGACAAATCATAGCCGTTGATTTTTGTTTCTAATTAAATTGATCTTAGTGTATGAGATTTATAAAACTAAGACCTAGATTTTAATCCTTAAGGGTTTGGGAATAATATCAGACGCCAAACTATGCTCAATTCGAGGTCTAGATATCATTTTTTTACTCAAGGTATGTTGTAGCCTTGATTTTACCCAAGGTACGATAGAATCACCCATATATATATATATATATGGGTGATTCTATCGTACCTTGGGTAAAATCAAGGCTACAACATACCTTGAGTAAAAAAATGATATCTAGACCTCGAATTGAGCATAGTTTGGCGTCTGATATTATTCCCAAACCCTTAAGGATTAAAATCTAGGTCTTAGTTTTATAAATCTCATACACTAAGATCAATTTAATTAGAAACAAAAATCAACGGCTATGATTTGTCGAAATATATGCAACAAATTACAGGCACAATCTTAGGGATTAGGCTCTTTGATTTAGAAATCTAAGACCTAGGTTTCAATCATCAAGGGTTAGAGTATAGTATCATGTCCAAAAATTCGGTTAATTCGAGGTCTAGATAGCATTTTTTTACTCATGGTATGTCGTACCCTAGATTTTACCCAAGGTACGATAGAAGCCACCATATATATATATATATATGGCATAGATGGTTTGTTTTACTTTCAGCCCCAATTATTACCTTTGAACTCGACTCATTAGGTGGAATATGAAAATAAATTTTTTGGCTCGGAAACTCGATGTAAATACAATTGTTTACTATTACAAACTAAAATATTTTATTTTGAGACTTTGATATATGAAAGTTTTTTTTAGTGCAAAAATTTGGAATGGAATTAAAGCCTCACAACCATATAACCAAATGACTTCTTATCATTGTTTTGCCAAGCTCATCCTTATTAAAGGTTCTTCATTTTAAATCAATACATCGGTTTAGACTCTTGTAATTGTATAGTTTTTAGGTTTAGATATCTCAACTAACACACTAATGTTTATTTATTGCCTCAATCGTCGAATTCAGATTGTCTATGAAGACATTCAAATATCAAGACTAAAAATTTCAACCTTTATTTGATTAATGCCTAGCTAGCTAGGTCAACGGTTGATGAAACGAGATGTTTAACGTACATCCTTAACAAAATAAATTCTAACTTTCACACGTGTCATTTTTCAAGGTATCTCGTGTCTCATCCTAGGATAGGAAATCAAAGTTTGTCAACAATCATATTGAAGTCATATTGAACACTTCGATTATTAATCCTTGACAATTAAGAACTCTAAGTCTGAAAATAAAATTCTTAGCAAATGACATAATACTTCAATTGAGTTTGCTAAATAAACATGATCTACAACAAATATTAGTAATGTGAACATAGAATACATTATAAATTATTGCACATGTCATTCCTATATTTTCACTTAATCCAAATGAATAAGAATTTTTTTTTTAAGAAATAACTATAATTGCTTGGTTAAGTTTCTATTACAATATTTCTTTTTTCTCTATTTGCATCATTATAAAATGTTAATATTTGTGTGTTTATTTAAATTGTTCACAAAAATGTAACATATTTTTTTATTTTTTTTAAATGAGTAAATTTTACTTGTGATATGTGTCACTCTACAGACAATAGTATACTGATGCTTACTTAGATGTAATGATAAAGCAAAAATGAAAAAAAAAACAAAAAGAAATTATTACGAAAATTAAAATAAATATTAAAAAAGAGAGATCAAGCAAATATTATATATTTTATATTTCATACCGTATCTATTATTGCGTACAACAATATTATGCAAAAACAAAAATAAAAGAGATTTTGAATAAAAGAAAAGAAAACATTAAATGAAACAAGAGATAACTCCATAAATATATCAATAATTAATTAATTTTTATAAAATCATTATCCACTATTTTAACTGGTCAACTCTCTAAATACTTATGTGACATATCTTGAATGACCTTCTCTGTTTTCACTGTTGCGCGGACTGATACACGCCCTTAATCCCGTCTGCCATTTGGCCGTCCATTTCCATCATAATGGAAATGAACAATAATAACACAGTTAGCAAAGTAGCTAGTTAGCACATCACCATTTCAATTAAGTCAGCGGCTAGATGGTCAAAAGGAGCAGATTTTTTTTGCGTTAAAAACTCAAAAGAAGTATTTATCACGATTCACCGTTGATCAGGACACAAGTCACTGTCTCCTACTGACTCCAAAAAACTTGCATGTGTTAAGTTGCCAATTAACTAAAAAGATAAACAACAATACCAAATAAATAACATCATCATCATAATAATAATAATAATATTATCTCTCGATCACTTCATGACAAACTCCTAGCCAGCCAGCTAACAAACTAACTCGGATCAAGTGCCTTAACTTAATACTACGTGCTCCTCCCCACTCCCTCACTCCTGTATAAAATCCCAACACCCCGCCCGGCCTACTACTACCACTGACAAAAAAACAGATCGGGTTGGGTTGGGAAGCTTCTCACTTTCTTTCTCTCTCTCTCTCTCTCTCTCTCTCTCTCTCTCTCTCTCTCTCTCTCTCTCTCTCTCTCTCCATTGAGCGCCCGATCCAAGATCGCTAACAGGATTGAGGACAGATCGATGTTTCGCGGTGGGCGGAAGAGCAGCAAGAGCAAGATCAACGACAAGACCACTACTACTAGTAGCATTAGCGGAGATGGCGGCGGCAAGGAGAAGTTGATTCCAAATCTGGAGATATACCACGACGAGGAAGAGGAGGAGGAGGAGAAGCAGTTTTTCTACAGCAGCAGGCTGCTCTCCAGGGAGACCAACAACCACCCTTCTTTCCGTGTCTACTACGGCGACGCCTCGGTTGCAGTGCCCTTCACTTGGGAGTCTCAGCCGGGGACGCCCAAGTCCAAATACCACATCGAATCCGGCCGCCACGTCATCAGCCACAGCGCCCCTCTCCCTCCTCTCACCCCGCCGCCTTCCTACTTCTCCACCAATAGTTACAACTCTTCTTCTTCTGCTTCTTCTGCGACCGCCACTAGCCGGGACAGGCGCCAGCTCAGCAAGAAGCAGTCCAGCTCCTTCAGGTGGCCCACCAAGCTGTTCATGAGCTTCCGCAAGCGGCCCACTAACAACAACAGCTACTCGGTGGGCTCCTCCTCGTCCTCTTCCGATAACTCCACTAGTCTCTCCCCCACGCGCAGTGATAATAACAACCTGCTGTACAGCCGGCGGAGGGTGTCCAGCCTGGAGTCGTTGCTGGACCTGAAGTCCGATCCGGATGGTGGTGGTGGTGGGGGACCATCGGCGGCCATTGTGGATGGGCCCGGATCCGGATCCGGGTCGTCGCCCACTTCGACGCTTTGCTTTGGAGGGAGCACCAGGCTGCGTGGCCGGTACGGCTGGTTGTAATTAACTCCCGGCTGCCTGCTTCCGCTGCTGCAAATCTGCAATGCATGTCTGGGGAAAAGAAAAAAAAGGTAAAAGGATTTTAATAAGAAAGTGAAAAATTGGGCCTGTGGTTTGACCCTTGGATCCAGCCTCGAGGTACTACTCGCTGCTAGCGACTTGAATTAACTTTCTTTAATCGTTTCGGGTTGGGTTTCGGGTTAGGTTTTGGGTTGGGTTTCATATAATATAATGTAATGTAATGTAATGAATGGGCATGGTTGGATCGGATCGAGTTGGGGCTGGACCAGTACTCCTAGTAGTACTCGTTTGTATGTTATGTTTTTGGTATGAGCAAATATTTAGTATCCATCTAAATTACTTACTGTTTTGAATGAATGTTTTTTGTTTCGTACGTCAAATAAATTAATTAATGAAGTGGATCTCTCTGTGTAATTATGTAGCCATAAATTACTTGTACTACCAACCTATATATGGATGTACCTACTCCATTATATCATGGTTGGAATTAAAATGTACGCAAACTCATGAGTCCCACACCGACAGTACTTGAGCTTTACCTCTATACATAATAGGGGTGGGCATTCGGTCGGTTCGGTTTCGACCGAACCGAAATTATGAATACCGGGTCTCCGAATTCTCCCAAATCTCAAACCGAATTCGAACCGAATTATAATTCGGTTCGGTTGGTTTAAACCGAATTATAATTCGGTTCGGTTCGGTTTTTCACACAAAACCGAATTTGTTAAACTACTTGTATTTTCTCACTTTTAAATTATTTTTACCCCTAATATAAACAATAAATATGTAATTATATGCATCATCAATGATAAAATCAAACTTTTCAACACATAAGCCATAAAACTTTTCAAATATTTAAGTCTAAAAACAACTACAAACATAAAAATCCACCATTTAAAGCTTGCAATTATAGTATTTCGGTTTTTCGGTCGGAAATTCGGAAATTCGATTCGGTTGAAAGAACCCTGATTTCCGAACTATCCATATTTTCCTTCCGAATTCCGAACCGAATAGCATTAATTCGGTTTCGGTTCGGTTTAATTCGGTTTCGGTTCGGTTCGGTTCGGGTTTACCGAACCGGTTGCCCACCCCTAATACATAATGCCAGGCAGCCAGGGCCCGGGCACCATTGGCATGTGGCTACAACATGAATATGTGTTTATGGTTCGAAGGCACAATATTCCTGGAGTCAATTCGGCTATTGCGCTCCCAACACAATATGCGAAAATAAGCTTATAACGGTTGAGAGTCGTCCGACTAGGTATGAGACGCTTTTGTGATCGTTGGATGAACACAAAGATATTTTATTTAAATTATCATTGTGTCCATTTATTGATCACGAAGCGTACAATATCTGATCCGACGATCGACTCGACTGGTATGTTCTTACCCTGGTCGGATTGGGCAGGAGTAGCCTTCTCTGGTTATTATGATGAATTGGGATTTGATATGTATTAGAGTATACGAGGAAAGGATTAATATGGTGTTTAATCCCAGTAATCATAATATTATGAAGTCTCTCTAATAATCTTTTTTTTTTTTTAAATAATTGGGCCAGAGAGTGATGGCCAGCCATTGGATGGTTGAATTATATGTTGCGGTTGCTGTAGTTATCAAGTTTCATTTTCTGAAGAAGTGAAGCAAAGTTTGTCTCTGTTAGTCGGTCACTTTCACGGGACAGGATCCTTATTTATTAGTAATGCATTTAGGAAAGATGTCAACAGTTTCCTACCCCTCTCTCTCTCTCTCTCTTTCTATATTTTATAGAACACGATTACAGCAAAAATCTGAAATCCTGTCACATCCCTGAAGCCAAAGAGGTAAACGAGAAACATACTCCCCTACTTCCTTCCCCGCTTTGTTTTGGTAAATTGCTGCCGGCCATGGGCACGTGGGACCCTCGTGATCGGTCTGCATCTTAATTTGCGATCCATTTTCGGGCCACTTGGATTAGATTAACTTGTGCATAATTACTAGAGGCCATCCAAGACAAAATCACCCTTTCTATATAACTGGGAATCCAACTTCAATATGTTATTACGGGGTTCCAAGTAGTTACGTAGTTTCTAACAGAGTGGTATAAGATCTGTAATAATTTTTTTATCATCAATTTGAGTATTGGAACTAACTAGTTTATGATATTGTATCAGAGCTGGTTTGGGTCAAATGGTCATGTATTCGAATTTCGACGACTCATTTGGCTTGTGCAAACTTGAAGCTTGTGAGTTGACTTTCGTTTAACGGGACGTATAAAAAAGTGGTATAAAATCTCGAGTTATTGAGACTAACTTGTTTTTAATGTTACAAGAATGAATGGGCAGCTAGTTACTGGGGAAAACTTGAGCAGCCAGCAGTCGTGCGGGAGTCGTAATCCTCTTCCAATTTGGATATCAATGCTGAGAAACAGACAAGCATCGGCAGTACAAACAAAAAATCTCTTCACTCTTTACAAGTTTGGTTTTGCGTATAGATGTAAGCCCCATTTTGCCGACGAAAGCGCTATACAAACCACCAAAAATCTTGGTATATATTATAGGCTCTCCTCCCTCCATAGCTAGCTAGCTAGCTGCGAGCTTCAGCTTCTTATTGTCTGTCGGCAATATCATTCTTTAGCAAGCTCTCAATTTATGGATCCCACCTTAGCACCATAAATGGTCCAGAAGGAACAACCAAATATATAGTGGGAATAAATGAAAATGAATTTCTTATAAAGATAGTGAATCTTGAACTTGCATGCTCCAACCCCACAAGACAAAGAAAAGAATCACAATAATTACAAGGGGATAAGCCAAAAGACAGAAAAGAATAACCTTAATTAGAAGGGATAAGGCTACAATATTTGGTTTTACCGTTGAGGTCCACACACGAACAAAAATTAGTTGTGGATGTGGGATTTCACTTGTGATTCATTCATTTAATCTCGTCGGAGGAAAAGAACCTGTAAAAAGATCTAGTTGGTGGATTTTATTAAGGTATTGAGCGCTCTCTCATTTGAAATTCTTCAAGGTGTTGAGCATTGTTGGAACTCTTCAAAGTACGGGGCACTCTCTAATTGGAGTTCTTCAAGGCTAGCGCTCTTCTTATTGAAGCTCTTCATTACATTGAACGCTCTCCTACTGGTGGGAGGCAGGGGGTTCAAGGCATTGTGTGCTTTCCTCGTAGAGGTTTATTTACAATTAGTTTGGAGTTCTTCAAGGGTTTGTGTCCTCTCCTCGTAGATGTTTATTTACCTACACTTTGGAGTTTTCAAAGCATTGTGTGCTCTCCTCGTCAAGGTTTATTTACCCTCAGTTTGGAGTTATTCAAGGTGTTGTGCGCTCTCCTCATCGAGGTTTATTTACCCTCAGTTTGGAGATTCTTCAATGCTCTTATCGAAGTTTTATTTGTGTGCTTCTCTTGCGTCTTATATGAATGTTGACTAGTTGAGCCGTGGGCCGTGATCATATATCGTTTATGTGGGCCATGTAACGTCGACCAGTCAAGGAGCAGGCCGTGATCATACGTCGCTTTTATGGACTCATGTAACGTCAACTAGTCGAGCTGCAGGTCATGGTCACATGTCGTTTTGATGGGGTTGTCATCCTTTCTCATATTGCATGGAGCGTCGATGCTCCCTTTAACGCTCATAGTAGTCCAATATTTAAAATCAACAAAAATGTGTGAGAAGGGTGGAGTCTTAGCTTTAAGTTGGAGAGGTGGCATAAAAAGGGGAGCATGTTCTCACAATAAACAGCCAAGATACGAGGGGTAAAACATGTATAATTATGCACTTATCAAACCCCCCTCACTGTTTGTTTGTTCTCAAGTAAACCGTACTCAAAACTGTGCAACTCACTAGACCTCCATAAAGATATGTGACTTTCAACCATCGGTAGTGAATCATAAGAAACTTAAGAGGTAAACCCCAACACTCAGAGACTCGACCACATTAGTGACCTACAAATCTCGTAAGGATAAATATATTTGCTTTCATAACTTACATACAATCAACTAAGCACAAGAGTCTCAAAACGTATGGGGTGAAACCTTTGCAAATGTTACTTTGAATTTAAGCACATTGCTACCTTTTTCCGACAACAGAATTTCGCTTCCTTACATTTGATATCCCGTGCCACTATACACTTTGAAACAATAGGGTCATTTTTTTACTATCATGACCGAGCAAGAGCAATTTCTACACTTTAGCACTCACATGTAAGGGCTTTGTTTAAATCCTTCTCCTCGATAAGTGTGAAGCATAAGTGAAAGAGGTGTCAAAAGTTTAATTTGTGCCCTTCAAGCATAATACTCAAAGGACACTTCACTCGATGAGATATTGTACTAGATAAACAACATCGTATGATCGTGAATCGATGCTCATTTGAATCTTTTCCATTTCTCCCTATGCAATAAGTGAGTGCCTCACACGTAACATACACCCACATTTTACTTGTTTGATAAGAAAATTCAAGTAGGATTTTGTTTCATTGATAAAGATACAATTCATCCTGTTTAAAAAATTTCAAAATAGAGAGACTCTTATGCAGTGCTTAGCTGTTCATAAGAGATAAAAGAAAAACAAGCACCGTATATACAGACATTTCGAGTGATTTTCAAGTCTAGGAAATCCTTTATAGCCACAACACTATCCTCCATTTATTATATGTCCTCACAAAAACTAGCAATTCAAAGCAAATTAAGCATGGAAATTGATAGGAGAATGTTTATGGTGCCCTCAAATTTTCAATTTGGACAGTTAATTAGGCTCCAAACACTCTCATTTATGCCATTCATTCACCCCATACAAAATGAAACATCCCCATCCTTAAGCACGACATTATCCACAATGGAGGAAAGATAGAAAGGGTGGAACGAAGTTACAAGTTTTGTAGTGAAGAATGGTGGATAGGATAGGAGGACCTGCATGATTCTAAATAGTGGCTTGAACACCAAAATATCACAATCTTACAAGGTTGAGTTACTGATTCTAAAATCAAAGCAAA